TTATTTCTTCTTGTCTTTCTGATCTCAGAGTTGCTTATTGACAAATTTCATTAGCCTTAGTTAAAAAAGCGAAGTCCATTATTGCTTGTCCAAAACAAAATTTTTAATAAATCACTCTGCCGTTCCCACTCAACTCGTATGTGGAGGGGGGCTCGATTCCATTTCCACGTTTTTCTTAAAAATATGGAGGGAGGATTCTATTCCATTACCATATATCCCGTAAATTGAAAATAAATGTTCTGTGATTGTTTTGTTTTGTTGTATTGGGTTGTGAAATTAAACGTAGTAAATTATTTGATCATAGATTATTATTTGAGAATTTGTAAACAAAATCACTTGTATTTAGTAATTTATTGTTGTGTTGTTTGAATTAAAACTATAATTAAGAACACCTTAAATTCAATATTATTTTTTAAGAAATTAATATAAATTACGACTTTATTAGTAAAATAAAAATATTTAAACTAATAAAAGTTTTGTTTTTTTTTTCAAAACATTAATTTTTTTTTTAAAAAAAAGAAATACTATGTAATTTGATCAAGATTCATATATGCAATATTGATATATATTTTTTTAATTTAAAAAAAAATTGAAGTTATTTTTATCTTTTAGATGAAATAGGTAGTCTTTCATTTCAACAAACATCAATTTTTATACTTTTAAAAAATAACCTGATATACTTTAAAATAAAATCACCTTTATTCTTAAAAATTAAAAAAAAAACCAAAAATATTAAAATCTTTATCAAACACTTATTTTCATTGCTTTATTTTAAAACAAAACCGGTAAAAGAGTCAAACAAGGTCGTAGTTCAATGTAGATATAAGGTGAATGTAAAAGGATAATTTTTAAAGATAATGCAAAGAACTCATTACATTCAAATTTAATAATCTAACATATCTTAGCATTGAAAAACTTTTATAATACTCAAAGAAATAACTAATATATATATATATATATATATATATATATATATATATATATAGTAGTTATTTTATAAATTTATTTTTAAGAAAAAAATTGATACATAAAAAAAATCATCAATACCCACTCCATAGAGAGATAGAAATCTTAATAATAATAATAATAATAATAATAGAGAAAATTTAAAAAAAAAATAGAGCAGATATGAAAATTTTCTTATCGTTTTTTATTGATTCGGATGTGATTTTTTTTATATGTTTATCTATTTTTTGAAAAATAGATCCATAAAATAACTAGACATTATTTATTCTTTGAATATTATAATATTTTTTTGTTGACTCAGCATGTATACAGTAAAAAATGCAAAAAGAAAGGGTAATTCACCGATGAAAGGGCAGAGACAAGTTTCGAAGAACTCACAAAAGGCAGGAGAAGCTGATGAGTCAAGAACACAAGGGGAATCACCAACTTCATGATCCAAAAATAATAATGGTATGATCGTAAGGAAATAGAATAAACAAAAGTACAACCGACAAAGTGACAAAATGAGGAATCTTCGTGTTCTACTGGAACCTTGCATAATCCCACAAACCCATGAATTGGCCATTCATTTTGTGCCTTATCAACAAAAAGGAAAAGTGTAAACCCTAACAAGATAAAAAATAAAAATAAAAAGTACCTCCAGATGTGGCTGCCTCGTGTCGATGTATTAAAAAACTTTCCAGATGCGGCACAGATTTGTATGGTAATGTTAAATGTGAAAACATGGTGGTCTCCGGTTGAGGTTTTTGAATTCACAACAAGGAAAGCGGAAAAGTTGGCCTTTCCTTTACCTTTTTGTAGTGCCGCCTGGTAATTTCCCTTCCGTGGCCATAAACAAACAAAATAAACATCATAGACTTTACCTCATAGGCTAGAGAAGTAAAAGAATAATAATGGACCAAATTAGCAACGACCCGACATCTTTGAAGAGGAAGAGTCATGTACCATATAACAATTAATTAAAATTTTCAAATATTTGGTTAGATGAGTTCAAATTCGTGGCTACAACTTTTTTCTCATTTCTTGAGACTCTCCATTGCTAAGTGGCTTTTTTCATGTAAAATTTGAGTACTGCTTCCGTGTGTGACTTGGTCATATTTAGCTGTATGAACTTTTCTCATGTGTCGGCTATTTTTGTTTTGGAGTCTCTTTTTAGCTTCTGGTCATATCTCCCTTTATACTTGTCTAAATGCACAACATCTCGACCAGCTAGCGAGAAATTTGTGATTATGCTGTGAAAGTGAAGTTTGTGGGGATAACGCATAGAGTTCGCTTTTGCCTCTTTGGGCCGCATTGTCAAATCAGCTCTATCACAATCTAAACTTCGTGGAGAGAAACTAAAAGAGTATATTATTCTTTCATCCCTCAATTTTCAAGGTAATTGTAACTTAATTTTTTGGTTTCAAAAACCTATAATTATGTCTTGCGTTTTAATTCTCTATCTATTGAAATTATTTGTGAAAGTATATTAAATTTTTTATAATACATTGTTAATTCTATGTTATTATTGACTAAAAATTCTTTTAAAAAATTAACTTTTGATATTTTTAGTTGAAATTTTTCACGTATGCCAATAAAAAATTTAATATATTTTCACAAAGAATTTCAAAATTCTTTGAGATCAGAAAGTATTTTTTAATTCTTCCTAAACATTAAATTTTATAAAATTGTAAAAAATAGAAAATAATTTGAAACCATTCCAATTTTTTAAGGCTTTAAAAAAATAATATACATTTATCTACTTATTCATATTCATAGTATGATTTTCGAAATAATTGCACGTAAGGTTTTCAAAATTAATTTATTTTAAGTTTTGGTTAGGTGTTATACATTTCACCATATCAATATTTCTAAATCCATACTAAGAATAAGTATATCATTCTCTTAGGCTCAAAAAAAAAAAAAAGGATAATTTCAAATTACTTTTATTTTTTTATAATTTTATAACTATTTAATATTTAAGAAAAAATAAAAAGTACTTCTTGATCTCAAAAAGAAATTGAAATTATTTTTAAAAGTAGACTGAGTTTTTATTAGAATATATAAAAAACTTTCAACTCAAAATATCAATAAAATAAAATTTTTAAAATGAGTTTTTGGTCAATAATAACAAAGAATTAGTTATACACTTAGAAGAGAGAGAGAGAGAGAGAGAGAGACAGAGAGAGTTCAAGTTGAGGATATAACTGTAATTTTCTACAAACTAAATTACAATAGACTTGAAAGCTGAGGATAAAAGAATAATTTACTCAAAGTAAAATGATTTCAATAAAGAGAAATAGTAATTCAGTTTTAAAAATCATTTGCACATAACATATTGATCCATAGATATTTGGCACTGGCATATTATAGATAAATGAAATTGAACCAAACATCCATCTTTTCATTAGACCTAACTTTTTTGGCTTCATGAATCGAATTATGTTGGACATTACAGATGCCCAACATCGTTCCATCTCACTGGAATTTATATATCCCAATCATACATGAACGAAAAACCAGAATACATCCTTAAAACATCAAGAAAGGAGCAGTTCTGAAGAATCAGTACACGTGCATTGGAGTTGTAGGCTTTCAATTGCTAGAAAAATCAAATGTTAGACACATATAGCTAGCTAGGAAGTTTGTGATGGAGGTCAAGGCCATGTGCAAACACATGCCGTGACAACTATCACAAGCCCACTTGCACATTCGTTAATCAAATACTATCTTCAACTTGCTTAGGAGAGAAAGATGCATAGAAGTTATGCTCTCCCTTCTTCAGATTCTATCCTGACAATGGGGAGATGCACTAAAGCCCCTCTCACTTGTTAATGACAAAGTTGCTTTGATCAGACGAATTGATTTTTTGTTCATTCCTTAAAATTCCTCATTGATAACGAAGCAACGAAAGATGCAATCCGAAAGTCCAAAAGATTGGTGCTCCTTGGGAGTAATTTATCAGAGACAAAGGTAATCCTATATCACCTAAAGTTCCCATTTAAAAATTCTTACAAATTCTACTTTAGGACCCTAAGTTCCATTTCTACATAGATAGATATGAGTGTTAGCACATGGACTTCCTCAACAATCATAATTGAAGCAGATTGTTTAACATTCACTAGCTAGTGGATAGGTGACAGGCTTCAATAATATATAGTAACCGTATTTGCTAGTAAAACAGTTGACTTCAGGGGCATATATACTTGGATCCTAACATGATAACATCAGATTTCCTGAGCTTATTTGTTGGCAACCAAAGGGATTTTGTTAGTGTGAATGTACTTGGTTGTGGTACCTTTCTTTGGTCTTATTGTCCCCTGCATTTGGCTTGTAATCTATGGGTATCCCAACAATAATTACGACTATACATATAATTGATCATCAAAGGCAGCAAAAGAGATAATTTATCATATTGTTGATAGACTGTTTAGAGACATCATTATTGCTTTTAAGCATTCCCTCTGCTACATATATAGAAAACAAGATATATATTGCTAATATGCTATATAATTAGCCAAGCTAGATCCATCATTCAACTTAATTACCTTGATCTAAGTTAAACCTCGGATGCAATAGTGACGTTCTAGATAGGCTGCTGCTGAGTGTATCATTCAATCGGGTTCAAGCTAGATTAATTTGGTTAAGTAAGCCAAATTATAATTGATGAAGGCCACAAAAACTCAGCGTTCCCCCCCAACATTTTAAAATTCAGGCTTCAAGGTTGTTTCCGGAGTACATTCTAAATATTGATGTAAACCCAAAAGAAACACATAATCCTAAATATATAGCTAGGAAAGTGTCTTCTATCAACTAGTGCAAATATGTCCGATTCCAACATCTCTTTTTCACCTTTTATGTACACAATCTCTTAAGTTCTTTTTTACAATCTAAGTTTTTTTCTTTTTTTTTTTTTTTTTTGGCCGAGATCCTGGTATTCCAAACGTATATTGTCATTCTACCTTGCGTCCCATTTGGCCTTGTCCGTGTCTAGAGACAACGCACTTTGCTGATTAAGACTTCACTGACCCCTCGTTGATGTAACATGTTTTGGATCACCTACTTTTCTTAATTAATTTGGCCTCCTTACTGGTTTTGTATATTGTAGGGGTCAGGCCACCTTCTACTACAATCTGCAGCACTAGGATTAGTTTAAACCTTATCAAGGTGTTGAATATTTATCTCCAACATACCTACTTTACAACCAAATTGAAGAATAAAAAGAAGAAGGAAAAAAAGACATTATTAAGTGTGATGTTGGTGTTGGTGCTAATTGGATATAACATGAGTTATGTGGGTATCCAATAGTAGGTGACATGTATAGTTAAGGCTGCATGATTGGACATTTGTTTATGTTGTGGCCAAATGGGAGTACATTGCTTCTTTGAATAATATTTGTTAAACAACTAGCCGTAGAGAACGTGACACGCTTGAACAAGAAAGACGGAGAGCGATCGATGTCATCTAGGCATTTTTTTGCTTTTAAATGATGACGTCTAGTTTGATTCTATTCAAGGACGGCATTTGGGCTACATCTTTATAAACAAGACTTTCTGTCTTTGCATAGAAGAGAAGTTTTTGGATTCGAAAATCAATTCATGTGGGATTTGCCGGGATTGATCCTTTAATTAAAAGGAATATTAAGGAGATAAATGAATTAATGAATACCGTAATGAATAAATAAAAGCACGGTTAGAAATTCTCATAATAAGATTTTTTTATTTAATAATAAGAATCTTATTTGTTGTTGGAATATTATTGATCTATCATCATTTATAAAATATTTGCATGTCCGATGTTTTTAAAATTATTATTTACGTCCAATCTAATGGCTTTTTTCAAATTCAATTCATATGCAGAACTAAAATTAATTATTGTTTTTTTAATTCTTCATAAATGTACGTGAAAGTATACAACTACACGTTAAAAATTCTTTAATTCCTCTCGTTCCATGTGTAAAATTATTGTTGAAATTAGAGTATCAATTTGTTTTGTTTTCATATTTTCTTAAGTGACTAAGATTTTTTTTTCCTATTAGTATCATTGTTTTATATTAGAGATATGAGTAATTATGTTAAAAATAAAAATAATAAGATTTTATTTTTTCAATAAATACGACAGAATTTAAACTTTGTACATTGATAAACAGTTTGTTTGGAGTTCCGCTCGTTTACTTGTTAGGTTAATAATTTATTGATAAAAAATTTATTTTTTGATATATTTTTTTATTTGATAGAATTAAAGAAAAGACAAATTTTCCTATTGAATGAATATTATTTGTAGATTACAACACACATTATATGATCAAAATCTGAATAAAACGAGAACTCGATAAAGATGGTTGATAGGTGAGCAATCCATTTGGAACATATATGATAGTTTAGGAAAAAATTTCTCTCTTTTTTCTGTAAACTTAAATAATAATCTCATAAGGAACAAATTTCATTATACTGAAAATTAATGACAAATTCATTGGCACGTTATATTTCCAGATACTTCGAGATAATAATAAATAAAAAAAAATCAGAAATCTTACGAGCCAAACCAACAAATTCAATTTCAGAGCCCACCAAAACAAACTGTACATTGATCGTGTAGTTATGGCCACCGTGCCATATGCTAAAAACACAAAGCATGACGTGCTAACCATGTTTTTGTGAGGAACTATTTTGATATTGCTTTTCAACATTTATATTCCAAATTTTAATTTGAGACCTAATCTCTGAACTAATCGCATGCTTAACATAAATTCAGCTCTTATCAGCTTGATTAGCTAACAAAAGCCGCATTAATCACAAGCCGATGATGACCCCTGGGCACTGGTTTGTCTTGTTCATCAATTTGGGCAGAGTCAACTATGCATGTGCCAATTAGACCTTGCCCCACAGTCTCCAAGTTTATAAATATTATGTGGAGTAAACTATAAATTATTCCTATTAGTTTCAAGAAATGAGTGAATGAATTTTTTGTTTTCAAAAATTAATTATTTAAAATTTTCGAACAGTGTTACCAAATAAAACGTTGCGATATATATCCGTTAATTAATGAATGGAACTCTGATAGCAACTAACGGAATGAAACCAAAATCAAGAATTTCCAATATTGGGGGATTGGACCATGTTTGAGCGAAAAGCTTAGAGGTGTTTAACGTACATATTTTTGCAGAAGGGATAAAAACATTCTTTTGTTATTATTCCGTACTAGTTACTTGCATGCTAACCTTGACGTAAAACCTTTAATTTGCCTTTTTAATTGACCACTTGGGCTAAACTTTTCGTACAGCTAATACAACCCTTTTGGCTGATCAACTTCTGGTCTTGCTTGGTGCTTGCTTCGGAATTTTACGGCTTAATTTCACTAGGGGAATTTTTATTTTTTTTAGTTTGTTTCCATATATGGCATGCTCCATATTTTTTCTTATCTTATAAAGCTCGGTATGATTCATTACCATAACGATAGATACGTAGCTAGAGAAACAAATACTATAATATTACAAAATGCAATTTTTTTTTGTAGATTTGTTTTTAACAATAATTTCTTGCCATCCCTCTTATTGTAAGAGTTATTTTTGTCCAATACGTACGTGACAATGTTTTAGATTACCAAGCCAATCATGTATCACGTAGACAATATTTATTTATTACAAATACTTTGAAATTTAAAATTATTCATGTATAATGAAAAAAAGTAAAGTTTTTTTTAGATAAAAAAATTAATGATAAAATAAAAGGTTTACATTGACAATGAAATATAAAATAATTAATCATATCTATATATGGTGGCTTGAGAGTCTATCATCCATTATATATATATATATATTGTCCAAGACAATATGAAATTTTATTTTATTTTACGATTGTTAATGAAGGTTTGGTGATGTGAAGAGATAAAAACTGTGCTCCAAACACACGCATTTCAGAAACGGAAAGTAAAGGTACTCTTAATTGTTTTTTTTTTAAAGAAATAAAAAATTGAAAGGTTTTAATGTGATAGCGTATTGTTCTCTTGGTCATTTTTGTCAATTTGAGAACATTCGAGAAACAGAATCTTGTTTTCTTCTCTAGTCTCTTTAACCGAAGGCAAAGAAACTTCTGTAATAAAGCTACCGAAATACCCTCGCGTGGACAAACGTCAACAGCAGAGAGCGAGTTGCTCGCTTCCTCCACCTAAAACGTACAAGCAAAGTTGGGGAGCCCCATACGGCAGTTGGACTACTGTAGTGAATTTATGTGATTCCACTGCTAGGGTACTAGTTTCTTGAAATATGTATAAAAAAGAGATCTTTTGTCACCACGCCTATGATTATTTCTCCCTGTGAAATTACTTTCCCACACACGCCTAGCTTAATTACTTCTGCTTGATTATTTTGTTTTCGGTTACCTTCTGGGTTTAAAGAAATTGTGGAACGGATATGTATATATATATAAAAGTCATCTAATTTTATAATTTTTTAAAAATGAATATTTTTGTTGTTCATAAAAAATTATATTTGAATTATTAGGTGGTTCTTCTAAAATATTATTTAACTTATTTTATTTGAAAGAAATCAATTTTAATTTTTTTAAAAATTAATAATAAATAGTTGGTATCGTATGTGTAGATGCATAATTATTTTCAATAAAACCAATGATCTTGATTTTTTTATACACTAAAATATTATTTAACTTATTTTATTTGAAATAAATTAATTTTATTTAAAAAATAATAACAAATGGTTGGTGATATGTGTGTAGATACTTAATTAATTTATAATATAACCAATTGTCTTAATTTTTTTTATACACCATGAACATACTCGGTGGATTGAAGTGTTCAACATAAGTCGAACAGTATTTTTTTTAAAAAAATCAAGTTATAAAGAGTATATTGAAGTTAATAGACCGTAATACACACAACTATAAAATTAATTCGATGAATTTTGTTATATAAAGAATAAGCAAATAAAATACATGAATTCTATTTTTTAAGTAATTATTTATTTAAAAAATGATTCAAAAATCCATACATAGAGGAAAATAAATTATATTTAATAAAAAATAAAATTACATAAAAAAAGAATAAAAATAAATTTGAAAAAATATTCATAAGAAATGATAAATTTAAGAGATCAATTTTAAACAATAAGGTATTGTTTGGTAATCAAGAATAGAGTGATGGGAAATGAAAACGAGAATGAGGCATCGAATGAAAATTAAAGATCGGCATAACATTTGTATTTATATATTGTGTTTGGAACACTAATGAGAAATCAAAATGCAATTTAAAATTTTTAATATATGATTTTTTATACAAATAAAAATAATGGTTAAAAAAATAATTTTATTAAATTATAATTGTTGTAAAAATAATAAAGGTGATGGTGATAGTGATGGTTATAACGAGTTGTGGTTCTAGTGATGGTGGTGGTGGTAGTGATCTGTAATCGGTGTTAGTGTTTGTGGTAGCGGCGGTGATAGTAGTGGTGGTTGCGGCAATGGTAGTAATGGTGATTGTTGTAATAGTTACAATGGTGATTGTGGTGCTTGTAATGGTGGTGATGGTAAAAATAGTTAATAGACGATAAATAAATAAAATATATCAGTATTTTGAAAAAAAATCATTTTCATTTCTTGTTTTTATTCTCACATTTTATATGTGAATGAAGTTGTATGTAAATTTGTATTTTCATTTTCACTATTCATTCTCATTCACAGTTCATTCATTTTAATCAAACAGTTATAACGTGAGAATGAAATTTTCATTTTTATTCCCACCACTATATTCTTGATTATCAAACAGACACCTAAGAGTAATATCATCAATGTATATGTTCATGAAAAACTATAAAAAATAACAATTAGTTTTTTAATAATTTTTACACTCAATTCAATAAAAAAATTGCTTGAAAAAAACAAAAACAAAAGAATAAGATTTCTTATTTATTTTTTTAAATGATTCAAAAATCTATACACATAAGAAAATGAATTATATTTATTAACAAATAAAAATATATAAAAAGTAAAAAACAAATTTGAAGAGAATTTTAATAAGAAATGATAAATTAAAAAGATTAATTTTAAATAATAAGAGTTATATAATCAAATATATATGTTTATGAAAAAATGTAAAAAATAAAAATTGATTTTTTTGATAATTTTTACACTTAATTCAATAAAAAAATTGATAGAAAAAATCAAAAGCCAAAAAAAGGCAAGCCTGGTCCATTTAGGGATAAAATTTTTTTTTGAAAATATTAAAGATTAAAAGAAAACATAACTGACAATCTGCATATAAATGCTTAAAAACAGTAAAAAAAGAAGAAGAATGAAGATACCATTATTCAAAATTACAAAAAATGATATAAAGTGGATAATAATTTGGAAATGAATGAATTCTAATTTTTTTTAGTTGTTTTTGTTAATACGCGTGATTTCATCAACTCAAATACTGTGTCCTGGAGTTGTGGAACACGCAACCCTCCCATCCAATCACGTGCTTTAGACAAAATAAAACTGGATAAAACTTGGAGCTGGATGAAAAACGTATTAAGCCGAACTTGAAGGAAACCGAGAGGAGTAGCCATGAGTGTAAAACGTTGACTGAAATGTTAAAGCCGAGCCGCCGAAACCGCAGAGAACTTCCAAAGCTTCGTTTTCGCTGACGGTTGAAAACTAATCATTAGACCAAACCTCCGCATAACAAAAAGAAACGTAAACCGCCAGTGCCCTTTAGAGAGAGAAAATACAAACAAAACAACTTTATTTTTTCCATTACTACTGTTACCGGATACCGGCACTGCAGGTTTTCTCCTTTTTTTTTTTTTGGATTGAGTATAATTTTAATTTTTGTGACTTAAACAATAGTGCATCTCGTGATATAGAGAGAGGTAGCTTAAAAGCTGGGACCGGTAATGGGTCCGTGAAACCTGCTGTAACCGCCAGCTAAGTTCGTCCTGGCAGGATCACCCACAGTAACACATAGAAGCTTGAAACTGCGATACTAATTTCCGCCACGTGTACAATACTGTACAAGGATCTCGCCACGCGTCGAGCTCATGTTGCTTATGGAGGCTGGACTAGTTATGCTTCGGGGTTAGTTCCACTTAACAGATGGAATCCAGTGTGAAAGACGACTGTGTCCTTGGTGTTTTGGTCAAGAGGAGAAACAAGACAGGGACATAAGTGTCATGTGAAAAGTAGTCTAACCAACTTGGAAGGTAGGTGATAAGGATTCTGTGCAAAGTCGGCCGCTTGAAGGAAAAAAGTACAAACGGCTTTTATTTCACATCCTGTGTTGTTGTCATTTATGTCACCGTTCAGATTACGTGGTTCGTTTAGATGAACGGTTGGATTTTCTCTTTGTACACGTATCGTCACTGTACATTTCTACACGTGATAATTACGTCCTTCTAGCCACTTTCTTATCTCTGACCAGAATAGCAACCATAAACTCTTCGATAACACCGTCAAGCGAATTGTCTCAAATAGCCTCGCACAAACGTCGCCATGCTGGCGCTATCCATTTTCAAGTTCGCGGGTATAGGGAAAAGGGTAAAAGAGATAAAACTTGTTCAAAATGGGTCAAGGACCACGTAACCATTGGACCCATTCATATGCATCTGTGATTTAGAAATATAGAGGGCCAAAATGGTAAAAGTGTCAAAAATGGAAAGCTTTCAAGAAGCGAAACGGAGGATAACAAAGGAAGTGAAAAAAACGCGTTTTGGCCGGCAAAGCGTTTGGTTGAACCACCTAACAACCACCACTACTTTCCTCTACGCTTCTCTCTCTTTCTTTACTCAATTCCATTTTATTTTTAATTAAAAAATGGAATTAAAAGCATCACTACTAAATTTATTTATTTTTGCACTATAAAAGTATAAATTATCCTCTTTAAGTTCTTTTTTCGGTTTTCTAAGCCATTCCTTTCTTTTCTTTTTCTCGACCTTTAACTATTCATTTTTCTCTATCTTACTCACCCTCTCTACTTCTCTCTGTCCTCACCTTCCACCGGAAAACTACCGTTTCTCGCCGGAAACCGCTCATATCTCCGGCGTATAGCCTCCGTATCTTGCCGGAAAACCGCGAGTTCGAAAATACTGATTTGTTTGGTTTCGTGTCTCTGACTAGTTTTTCGACAACTTTTGTCTAGATCTTTTGAGATTGGCTCTGTTTCTTCGTGTTTGTCGCGTTTTGAGAGAATGTGGCGTGCTTGGTTATGACTAATGGCTTTATTGGAGAAGATCGTGATCTAGGGTTTGTAATTTGTGTATTTGGTTGATTTTAGCTTTGTTTTTGTCGGCTACAATTTGATTAAAACGGAGGCCCATAGAGACAGACTACGGAATGAAATGGTATGTGATTTCTCTTTGCATTAACATTATTAAATTTAATATTTCTTCCCTCTTTCTATTTATTTGTTGATGCTTATAACATTTTGTTCAATAGTTATTAGAATTATTTCGTTCCAGTTTCTATTGAACAGATCTTACACATTGTTCTACCATGCAACGGTGTTTTTTATTTCTGTATTATTTTTTTTGGAATTTTTTAAAAAATATTTTTATATTTTGAGGTTCTATTTGATTCTTAAAATTGTGCTTTTCTGGTTTTTTTTTTTTTTTTTAATTTTTCTAGGCTCTGTTTCTATTGCATTTCTGCTTCGCATCAAAGATTATTTGATAATTTTCAATAGAGATATTTTTTGTTTTGTCTAATTATTTTTTCTAGGTGAGATTTATAATTTATAAAATTTGTAATTTATTTTTCGGGTTTCAATTTAATTGTAGGCGGCTAAAAAGTTAGCATGCAAAGATGACAATATGATGCTTCCATATTTTTTTAATTATCTCATTTTTCAGGTGTAAAAATTGTGAATAAAGTGTGTACGCGTGTATTTGTTGAACGTTAACTTTGACCATACTTTGAATTTCTGCTGATAAAGATAAAAAGAGTTTTGAGTTGAAAAAATGACTGTAAAGAGTTGATATGGTCATAGACGTAGTAGGCTCAATTTGTACTTTTATTAGTTTGAAATATTCCTCGGATTTAATGAATTTTTGACTCTCAATTCAACATGGTTCCAGTGAATACTTTCATTTTTGGCTTTGATTGTGGTGATTGTTGATAAATTGATACGACCATAAATGGTTGACTCTGTAACACATTCTTTGGGTTGGAAGCAACTAGGGAGTATTGGATTTCTTGGGCTATACAATTAACATGAATGCGGGGTGATTTCCTATTGGTGATATTTTACAATTTTCAGTTTAGGTGGAAAAATATTAGTTCGGGTGTTGTATTTTATACATTGATGGTTCGTTCCTAAACTTTGACATGATTTCTTGAATCATGCATGAAGGGATGACTGGCTGTAGCGCGTTGTGAATTATATGGAACATAAATTTCTTTATAGCAGACAGCAAATTTCAGTTGAAATAAACTATTTTTGTGAAAATGCATGATGAAGTTGTGTTTCATGGTGGTTTCATTCATGCATTAGAGATTTATACATGCTTGCAGCTTCTATCAAAATACATGTAGTACCTGATGTTGATGCTTTATTAACTAAATTTCAAGGGTTAAAGTGCCTTATTTATCTTGGATTCCTTCTATTTTTATAATATCCATGTGTTGATCTGATTCTTCTGTACTCCCGTTTGTTTTGACAGGTGGAAGGAAGGGTTTGCTTGTCCAGAGAAGCTAGAAATGGGCTAGAGTATTTGAATCGTAGAAGGCTTCAGCAAATGAAATCAGAAAGCATCACAGAAACTGTAAATTTTCCCAATATGATGAGTAGAAGCGGAGGAGATGCTTTAAGGACTTCAGCATCATATGGTGTTAGGGTAAATGATAATGCGGAATCATTCTCTCGGTCCACTGGTGCTTCAAGCGGGAAGGATGTGTTTTCAAAGCGAAAGGTGGATAAGTTTGATACAAGTGATTTAGAATGGACTGAGAAAATTCCTGAATGCCCTGTCTATTGTCCTACAAAGGAGGAGTTTGAGGATCCTTTGGTGTATTTGCAGAAAATAGCTCCAGAAGCTTCAAGATATGGTAATGGCTCTTCTTGAGTCTAGTTTTTCTTCTAATGTTGATTATGAGAACACGAAACCAAAAAATCCTGCCAGTTTTTGTCGCACATTGGTCTAAGTTGTCTTATAAAAGTTATTTCTAAACATTGTTTTGTGAAGAGGTAATGTGATCTTGAAAGAGGGTCTATTAAGAAAATTTCTTAAAACCTTGGCTGCCATGATGTTGATGAACATCTGAATTCTCAACTCCGAGACACGAGGATGAAAATCTGGGCACATATAATTTACTCATTCCCTGCTTCGTGTAAAAAGTACATCATGTAGCGTAATAGACATTTATTTTTGACAACACTGTCTGAGTCTCAATGGGAAGCACTATTTGTTTTCGTCATGGTACAATCTTCCAAGTGACATTTTTGGAAATTATAAGAATTAGGAAGTTCTGTTGCTTTCTTGTCACCAATGACAGGCTTCTGCAACCATGTTTTCCTCAATCAAATTAATGTGATTTGTATCTTCTAATTCTTCTTCTTGTTTTCTTCCTAATCTACAGGTATATGCAAGATTATTTCCCCTGTGAGTGCATCTGTTCCTGCTGGGATTGTATTAATGAGAGAGAAAGCAGGATTCAAGTTTACAACTAGAGTACAACCTCTTCGTCTAGCTGAGTGGGATACTGACGATCAAGTCACATTTTTTATGAGTGGAAGGTTAGTTTCGTATCTTCAAAGAGGTATAGTTTTTGACTTGAATGTTCTCTATGGCTTTAAACATGAGTGGCATTTTTCAGAAATTATACGTTTCGTGATTTCGAGAAAATGGCGAACAAGGTGTTTTCCCGTAGATATTGTAGTGCCAGTTGTCTTCCTGCCACGTACTTGGAAAAAGAATTTTGGCATGAAATTGCTTGTGGAAAGACAGAAACAGTTGAATATGCATGCGATGTCGATGGTAGTGCCTTTTCATCATCTTCCAGTGACCCGCTTGGGAATAGCAAGTGGAATTTGAAGGTGTAGATTTTGCTCTTGCTTTTATCATCTCCTGTACTTTATTCTGATAGACGTTCATCTGCTTAATCTTAGCCCAAGGGAAAAATATTTTTGGAAGTAGTGGAGTTGGTCAGGAGTGCAAAATGCAACCAAAAAGAGTTGGGAGAATGCGCAAAGAATTTGGGGTGGGGTTGGGTAGTAAAATGTAAAAATATCATGATTTTACGGCTAAAATCAATCCAACTGGATGTCACAAATCACAATATGAGAATTTGTATTACATGATTGTGCAGCATGAGAAATCCTCACTATCACTGTCAGCAGATATCAGTGTGGAAGAGAATGGAGTCCTTATCCTTGGAAGGGTGTCAGAATTCTGGCAACTTGATTCTGTTGGAGTACCTTGTTTGAAAATTGGGAACCATGTGCTTGAGCTCTGCTGATAGCTGGATACATGTTTGTTGCCACACAGGATAAGACTATTTTATTGCATACTTGAGAAATTGTGTTCCATTAGGGACAGAGTAGTTTATAGGATATATATTTTTTTCCCCTTTGAGAGTAAAGTGAAAAAGATTTTTGAAACGGTATAGTCTGTTTTGCAGTATGTCCCTTTTAGTCTAATGTCATCCATCAAATAGCTAGAAAGATCATCCCTTTAGCTGCCCCCTTAAACTCCCTTCCTCCCTATTTTCTATTATTATTCTACTATTGTGGACCTAGAATTTCTTTTTGGGTACAAATAGTTCACTAGTTACCAAAATTGAATCTGAATAATGTCTTTTCTTTATGTTTCTCATATTGCACGTACAGCCACCAATTATTATATTTCATCTATGTTTGTGATTTCAGAATCTTTCCCGCCTGCCAAAGTCCATTTTGCGCCTTTTGGGAACAGCTATTCCGGTAACTAGTCAATCTATTTTTTGCTGTATTTGTTTGTGTACTTATGTCCCTTGTTGACTTAGATTGCACTTATTTCAGGGGGTAACCGATCCCATGCTTTACATTGGAATGCTATTTAGTGTGTTTGCTTGGCATGTAGAAGATCATTATTTGTATAGGTATGATTCATACACCATGCTTATTGAGTTTCAATGTATTCTTTTGTATCCTTTGCTTTGCTTTGTACTGTTGGTAATTTTTTTTTTTGGGTTAAAATTTGATTCACTTTGCAATTTAATTTTTGTTGTGGCAGCATTAACTACCATCATTGTGGAGCATCAAAAACTTGGTATGGAATTCCTGGTCGTGCTGCTTTAAAATTTGAGAAAGTGGTCAGAGAACATGTGTATAGCCATGATATTCTATCAACTGATGGGGAGGATGCAGCTTTTGATGTACTTATGGGGAAAACAACTCTGTTTCCTCCTAATATATTGTTAGAACATGATGTCCCAGTCTACAAGGCTGTGCAAAAGCCCGGGGAGTTTATAATCACTTTCCCTAGAGCTTATCATGCGGGATTCAGTCATGGTAAGATATTTTTTCTTTCAGCTGAATTGATAATAGTGAGATTTTAAATGTTTTTCAAACATACCCATCCTAACTGGATTTTGGGATTTTTATCACAGTAGAATGATGACAATAGTATTTTTTTTCTTTTTCATAATTGTAGGTTTCAACTGTGGTGAGGCTGTGAACTTTGCAATTGGTGATTGGTTTCCTCTAGGGGCTGTAGCTAGTCGGCGCTATGCATTTCTCAACAGGGTTCCTCTACTTCCTCATGAAGAACTTTTGTGCAAAGAAGCAATGCTTCTTTATACAAGTCTGGAACTTGAAGATTCAGATTATGCCTCTGCAGACTTGGTTTCCCATAATCGGATTAAAGTTTCTTTTGTGAAGCTGATGCGATTCCACCATCGTGCTCGCTGGTCTATAATGAAATCAAGGGCATGCACTGGCCTTTTGCCAAATGCCAACGGGACCATCTTATGTGCCATATGTAAAAGGGATTGCTATGTGGCATTTCTTAACTGCAGCTGTGACTTGCATCCCGTGTGCCTTCGACATGGTATGTTTTGCTCCATATCTTCCATAGGAAAATATAAACTCGCTCTTCTTTCAATGATTAGTCATTTTCAATTGTCTTTTAATTACTTAATAATTGTTTTGGCTGCACTGTCCAGATTTTGGTTCACTTGACTTCTCATGTGGGAGAAATTACAAACTGTTTTTGAGGGAGGATATTTCCAATATGGAAGCTGCAGCCAAGAAGTTTGAGAAGGAAGATGGAATATTAGAGGAGATTAGACGCCAAGGAAACATTGGTGATGATTTGTATTCTTATCCGTTATCCATTAAGTTTCATAGTGTTCCCAAGGATGGGTACACTCCATATTGTGATATAAGCTTTGATTTTAACTCTGAGACTCCTGCAATAACTTGGGAAGGTTTGAAAGAGTTTAGCCAATCCACAAACAAAAATGGCAGTGGAAAATTTAGACCCGAATACTCAGAAGCTTCCATTTCTTGTGCTGCATCTACTCTGTGTTCTTTTGGAGAGCCAGCTGAAAGCTTTTCTGCATTTGACAACGTATGATTCAACTTTCTTATTCCTAAATGTGGCAAGTCCAACTTAAGATGTGAATGGCAAAAAAAAAAAAAAAAAAAAAAAAAAGAGGTTTTTAACATTATGATTAATGGATTTTGTTTCCATCATTTGCAGGGAAAGGTGCAGGCTGATTCTAATGCAGGGAAACATGATTCTAAAAGGTTATTTGAGGAAGGATTGAACAGCAAGCATGAGTACTCTGTATCCTCTCTATCGCATGATGAATCCCTGAGAAACCAGCAAAGTAATTTTCGTGGGTTAGAGGTTAAACCCATTGTTGATGAACAAAGTGACGATTCTGATTCAGAGATTTTTAGGGTTAAGCGCCGGTCTTCTCAGAAAGTGGAAAAAAGAGTTGTGAATGATGCTTCGTCTTCAAAGAATTCCGAACACCAGGTATAGTAGTACATTACATTACATTATTACCATCAACTCTATTTAGGTCACTTATTATTATACTGTGTACTTGGTACATTTCTTTGAAGTCCTGCTTTCTAATTATTTCTACTTGTAGTTCTTCTCTTATTTGGTTGTGTTTTAAGGATTCTCAAGTTGTATTCTTTAGAATTTTATTAATTCTCTTCTCATTTTCTCTCTTTTGCTTTCTGTTATTTTTTTTTTCTTTTTCCAATATACTTTACCTGTAAAAAGCAAACAGTGTTTGAATCAAAGTACTATCTTTCCCTGATATAATTTTCTGGTGTCTGATTGAATCTGGGCTATAAGATGAAAGGATTTTGGAGGTTCAGTTATGGTTGGAAACAAATGATTTAGGAAGTTCTTACTCCTTCTCTTTATTGTTTCTCTCATCAGTTTCTCATAGAAGTGACATTAGATTGTTTTGAATTCTATGACAAGTTATTTATAATGCTTAGTGCAGTATCTCTGCTTGCACTCGTTAGCCTACCATGGATCGATAACTTAAATGTTAAAGGATGCACTTTGAACTAAATAGTGCTGAAAATTAGTCTTCCTGAACTATTATGCTCCTTTTTTGTTTCATGCTCTATTTGGTCATTTAAACAGGGGCTTAAAAGACTGAAGAAGCTCCAACCTGAAGGAAGATATGGGCAAACAATGTCATCAGAGTACTGCAGAACCGACGAATCAAATCGCAGTTCTACTTCAGGTTCAAATTATAAAGAAGCACCAGAGAGTGCTTCAAAGGACAGGTTTGCCAGGGGAAGTACGATTCCAATCTCGATTAAGTTCAAGAAGTTGACCAATGATGAGGCGGTAAGTAGACAGCAAGATCAACACAGATTGGACCGGTTCCAGCATGAAGTGGGAAAGACTATGAGGGAACCACCCCCTATAGAGATTGGGCCAAAGCGTCTTAAAGTCAGAGGCCCATCATTTCTAGGTTCAGAGAGCAGGTTAGATTGACTTTTGGATCACATAATTGATGGAAAAAACTGGTTGGCCTGCCTCTGGAGTATTATCCAGAGCCTGACTTTGCTAACTTTTTCTTCTCTAATGGGGTTCTAACAACACGGAATATCCAAAAGATTGATTCTGGGAGCAGCGGCAAAGATTAACCAACTCTAGGACATACTTTTATTCTTTGTGCAGGCCTCTAATTGGGGCACTTTGCACGATGGTGATTCTTCGGGTTCTCATGCCGGGGTGTTTTTCCGTCTTTTGGCAGGGGAACCTTCCTGCTAGCTGAAAGTAGAATTTGATTAGTAACTTTGTAAATTTGTTTTTAACAGTCGAATTAATTCTTGCAAGGAAAGTGGATGTTCCACTGCTCCTTCATTTAAAGTCAGTCTGCTGCTTCCTCGGGTTCTTTATTCTTTTTGTAGCTATGGACTACTTGAATAAATGCAGAGAAATACCTTTTTTTCTCTTTATATATGATCATGCTTGTTTCATTATTTGCAGTTTTAATTTTGTTCTATATTTTTTTAGCTCATACAGTCAAACTATTCATTAGAGTATTCATTATCTTGATAGCTATTGTCTATGCCACTTGTTTTCGTGTTTGTATGTTAGGACAGACTGAGGAAATGGTGCCATGACAATTGGCAGTGCTGCATGTGTCAACCGGACATTCAGAAAATAATCCTTAAATTTCCATTCAGTTTGATGGGTGTGAAGGCATTTGATAGTGTGTCATGTAAATAACTTGAATATACAAGGATTAATAGGCCACTAAACTGAGTTTAAATTGAAAAGATGAGAAACCGTGAGCCGCTTTCGGTACGTGTTCGATAATTTTACGTAGTACAAGGCCGTCTAGGAAAAGCCAAGGGATAGATGAACAGCTTTGCTAATACTGGTGATGCCTTGTCCGTTGGGTAAGTTTCTGGTGGAAACTGCAAGGGACATGCTCTAGGCAGTATGCATATGGCTGTCACTGCTACTTGCGAGCTTTATTGGCTTATGTGCTTTCCCTTTCTAGCAAGGTAGTATTGGACTTCTGTGGGGAGTTTTGTTCACGTTAACGGCAAGCACTAGGGTCATATGTTCAGTGGTTGGGATGCTGTTTTGACACGAACCATATTTCCTAGTGGTTGTTATGGGTCGTTCTGCTCCTTTAGTAACCGAGCATTTGCAACATTATTGAATTTTTTTTGTTGTGAATGAAAAAATGGAAAAGGGACTTGTCACAAATCACAACGGTTTTGCAGTTTATGTTTTGAATTTATTCAGAAGCAGGTGGGCCACGATGGTCATATGTTGTTGTCTTTTCAAAAACAAAAAACAAAAAAGCTGTTTCTTCATGAAAGCTTGTAATGCTTGGGAATCTTAGGCGCTTGCAAGTTCTTTTCAGAGTGGCAGACGACAACAAATGCACTACTAGTGCAGAAAACTCTCCTTTTTGGTCTAGACTGATTGCTTATAGAATTAACGAATAACTATAGCTTGTCAAATTAAATGAATGCGAAAGGGCATTAATGGGTATGCCGTAATTGGAGGATTGGTCGTGATCTGATGACTAAAATGTTTAGTCAGTTTATGTTTTCTATTTCAAATGATGAAACTAGAGAACTTACTAGCTATTATTCCTAAAAATTTCCTTAAACTTCTTAGCTCCTGTCTATCTGTTTTGGCGAAGCATGCAGTTATGTAATTGCTGTCGCTAAAACGAAGACGACTTCAAAGAAGTTGACTAGTTGTTCTGATTGAGACTTGGGATCCATAGGATGGAAAATAAAGAGATCAGAAAAAGCGAGGAGAGAGGATGGAAAGTAAATAATTTCTCTAGTTTTTTTTTTTTTTTTGCAATTAATTTCTCTAGTTATTTGAATAATTGGAGAGGAGATGGAAGATTTGACGACTGGTAAAATAAAAAAGCCTGTTCATTTCAATTTTTCTATCCCAATCCTCATATTTTAGAGAAATTAAGAGAGGATTTATTATTTAAAATTGTACTACTATCTTTCACATAAAAATGAGATTCGTTATATACCATTCTTAACAAATCTAATAATTTCTCAAAATTAAAAAAATATGATAACCAACGTATATGGAGCCATCCACTAGATCATTTGACATGCGAGGTTGAGGTACGGAACTAAGATTTTTATAATGGAGGTGTCAGAATAAAATTTACTAGCATATTTTTATTTTAAAAAAATTGGTTATACAGAAAATTTTGGGGTGCCATAATCTTAAATTAATGGGTAAATTTACAAAATTTTGGAAGTTTTAGACCAACATGAAATCTTTGACAAATTTTGGAGGTGCTACAACGCCCTAGCAATGGTGGGGTTCACTTTTTGACTACCCGAGGCAGCAGGCAATGGGAAGTTGCCCGAATCAACTGCTTGATTAAAACTGCTAGTCTAAGGAAGCTGCCTCTTACTCGTTTTGATCCGTTGGCTCATCTTGATCGCCTTCAAGAGTCTGATCGAAATAGGATTTTCTATGATTCATGAATCATGGCGTGTCACTGGCACTCCAAAATTCAAAAACAAACTTTTTAATTATGATATTTCTCACAGATAAAAAATTCTCGAGGAAAGAGGTAGAAAAGAATGCCTTATCTAGTATTTCTCTAACTGAAGAAAAACAAAAATGTTAAAAGAAGCGATGAGAATTATCTTTTAGGCCTTTAACCATTTTGTTCTTGGTTACATACGCATTATATTTGCTGTCTTTGGAATTTCTTATCGATACGGGCCAAGGTTGCATGAACAAAGAGTCCAGCAATAAAGTCCAAAATAAGGCTCAATGAGTCTAGTTGAAGAAAAACAAAAGCCCCGGATCCAAAAAAGAGAAGTTGCAGTTTGGACTTTGGAGGGGCGCTCGATTGACTTGTAATGTCCATAGATCACGACTAGCCTAGTCATGTCTCATGCGCCTTCAAGTTAGATATACATGCCTTTAAATGGTTCCACACGTAAACAGAAAAATAAAGAAAAGAACAAAAAAAGAAAAAGCCCTGAGATAATTTTTTTTTCCCTCTAAAATTTTAATTGTAGTACAAAACTAATGATAACAAAGAAGTCTTAGGGACTTAGGGTGTTTTCTGTAATAGAAAATATTTTTTACTTTCATTAAAATAGAAAATATTTTCATTTGCAATAATTTTAGAATTTATTCAAATTAAAAAAAAAAAAACCGGAATTGTGTTTAGCTCGTAGTCGGAATCTGCATGTAAAATCCAAAAAAGATAGAAAATGTGTTTGCAAAAAACCAAGTTGTTATGGTTAATTTCGTGAAAAAAAAATTGTGTAAAAGGGAAAGGTTGGAATTTGAAAAGATATTAGAGGGAACTTTTGTCAAAATAAAATTCAAAAAGTTGGAAAATAAGGCAAATGTGTTTTCCAATTTGAGAAAACATGGGAAACAACTTGTTTCCAAAATCTAATTACAACGTAGGGAAAAAAAACATTTTTCCATTTCCAAGAACTTGTATTTGAACCCAAAACTCCATTTGCTGTTTTCTTTTTCCCAATGTTTCTGGAAAAAAAAAAATGGACAATAAATCACATTCTTAAAACTCCACTCGAAGATTCAGGAAAGAGGAGAACTCCAATTTTTTTTTTTTTTTAAAAAACTACTTTGAGGTAAATGGGCCCTTCAAGATTCATAAAATTTGGATCGAACTCGGTGTAGTTTGAGTTTAGGATGAACTAGTAGGCCCATCCCTAGGTTCTTTTGTGCAGTGACAATTGTGCTAATGTCCTACTTATTTTCATATTTCAATCTTTAAAATTTTAATTTTTCTTTTCTGAAAAAAATTAATTCACGCAGTTGTTAACTGTCATTTCTTAACAAAAACAGATTCCATTGTTCCATGGTCAAATGATTTTGCTCTTGTAACTGGTAGAAGGAGATGAATTTTGGGTTTGCACTTTGCACAAAATTGGCAAAATTGGTGATAGTCACATGATTTGCACCTTCACTGCAACACTGTAGTTTCAACTTATTTTACCTAAAATCTATTCCTACATTAAAAATATTCCGCAAGGATCAACTGGACCCTCGTAACTTGAGGCTTTGTGGTTTGAGCAATGCAGTAAATCAAGCAACTTTATGTTGGGTTAAAATGCTAACTCACTTTACTGCTATAAATTAACCCATGATTATCGGAAAATTTCGCACGTACGTACGCCAGCTAGATATAAACATAGACTTGACAATTGAGACTTGGTTAATTAATGCAACGTAAGAGATATAATTAATTAAACTTGTTTTTTTTTTTTTTTGTATGATAAAGGTATATATGATTAATATTTAAGCTGATAAAATAGAAACATAAATGTCTGAGATATTGTGAGTCTTGAATCCTGGTGTGTTTATCACCATGTTCATGGGTAAATTTATCCTTGCCTCAACTGTAACCAATTAAAGGCAGCATTATGCATGCATAACAAGATGAAATATCTGTGATAATAATGTTTGAGTTTGTCGTTATCGTTCTGAACATGATTAGTCTTATATTTAATATGAGATAAAATATCTATAAAAAAAATTAATTTCAAGGCATTGAAGGGAATTTTTTTCTTTTTTAGAGGTTTGATTATGAACTAGATTATGCATTTATCCGCAATGTTCAACTTATATAAATTTATTTAAAACCGCATTATTATATCGCGTTACATGATAGTAACAGAAGCATACTTACACCTTATACTTGAAAATGGCAACTAGTAGTAAGTAATGTATAATGTTCTTGTATTTATCAAGTACATATTTTGAATTCTTCTCTTCTTTCTCGCAGAGGGTTTTGGATGTAATATAAAAAGGAAAATATTGTTTGCAATTATGTGGGGCCATAGTTTCTGTTTGGTGGGAGCCTACATGCTTCTTTACCTTGATTTCCACCATATTTCAGTTTGATTGGGTTGTGTGGGACCGTTCTCTTCGCTACAATCATTCTCACCTTTTATTGAAGAGAATAAAACTGTGGAATTGTGGAAAGGGAAACCAGAGAGAAAATGAAGAATGAGAAAGGAACAAAGGAAGTTTTAGTTAATGGTTTCTTGTCAAAATCTTCAAATTTTCTTTCAGTCACTAATCTCCCTAGATTTGTAGGGCGCAAATCAAAGCTTCCCTTTGCTCCAAGTCGCTGCAAAAGATTCAAAATGTTTCCA